AATAACGTCTTTAAAAGACAACAGATAATCACCAATGATTTCTAAGTGAATAGATTTTGTTTTCTTCACTCAAGATATGTTATATCATTCAATAAACTCTTCATCTATAAAATAAGTTAAAGCTCTTGAATTTAGCAAGATAGAGGCTTTATGATGTTTAGGTCCTAAACTAATATCTATTGTAAAATAAAAAAAAAGATTCTAAGAAAAGAATATGTCTTTCATTAGGTATTATATAAGGTTCTAGCTACATGGTCCCTATTGTAGCTAGACAAATTTATTTTCTAACATATTGACTTCTTTGATAATTGTACTTCTTATTATATTTTATAATTACATTGCTTCTTTACATAATATTGAGTAATATGCTTTAATTCTCTATAATATAAATATAATCCTTCTTAACAATGACAAGTCTTTTCTAGCTCAACAAGAGGTTTGAAACATATTACATCAATTTGCAAATACTCTACTTTCAAAGATATGTGTTGAAAAGATGTTGGTATTGCCATTGAATTATAATAATATTGAGGCCTACCTATGTGATTCTTAAATCAAAATTTAAAAAGTTAATTATCACACTTTACAACAAAATCAATTGCTTGACTAAATATTTGAAGATTAAATAAATTAAGAAATAATTTTTTTTATCTCATATTGTAATCTATAAAGAAATTAATTAATAAGTACGACATCATTTCATTTAATATTATTTATAAGTTATCTAAATTATAAAGTAAATAATATTACAAATTAATTTTTTATTACAAAATATGGATCTTATTTACTACAATAAATTGTATCATTTTTTCCATATATATATAAAAAATCCACGAAAAAAACTTCTAAATTATTCAATATTGAGTCATATCATTCAAAAAAAGATAAAATCATAATAACGCAAAACCAGAAAGTAGTGTTTTAATAAATTTAATTTATGATTTTGGAGTTGGATAGCTTTGGAGTTAAAGTTCAATTGCCAGTTGTACTTAATTGATGAGTCCTTGAAATTTTAATCTTGTACCATCAAACTTCTCAAATAAGATAATTATTAGTTTTCTAGTACTTGAATGGTGTTCTACTATAGGAGAAGGGATATGATTTGGTGCAGATGTTGAACCAACTCCAATCATTTCTATATCTCTACTTTTTATCATTCTTGTTCCTCTTTATGAAAGTAAATTGAGTTGATGCATTGCAAGAATTAATTCCTTCAATTATTTTTGCATTTTTGCCATTACACTCTTCATTTTGACAAGTTGTATCATAATAACACTTAAAAAAAAATCTAATATTACTCAAGATAATAAAAGAAAGAACTTAAAAATAAAAATAAAAAATACTAAAAACAATAATAGTTTAAAAGAAGATAATCATCAACTTTTAATATGCTTATGTCTTGTCAAGAGAAAGAAATAATCTTCTCTTAATCCAAAAAAGACAAAGCTCTAATATCGTAAGTGTACTCTTATCAATTTATCAGAAATAAGAATTTGATGAAAATAAATAAATAAATAAGAATTTTTCAAAGAAGTATGACAAAATAGAAATAAAGGAGAATATATATTAAAAAGAAATTAGAATGGATATTATCAAAAAATAAGAAAATTAAAGACTTCTTAAAACTAGACTAGAAGTAAGAAAAGAATTGACAACAATGAAAAAGACTTCAGTCTTTCTTTTACATATACTATCTGTCTAGGAGCTACATAGCAACATTCTATAGGACCTTTAAAACATGTTAACTTTGCACAAAATGTATCTTAACTTGCTAGGTAAGTTTTTTATATGGATGCCACATAGTTAGCTTGTTTTGCAACCTACCAACACATGTAGCATGTAGTTAACTTGTTGACCAAGTTTTTAACCTACCAATTAACTACAAATACATGTAAAGTCAAAACAATGTCTATAAAGCTTCTAAGAAGTTTTTATAAAAGATATTATGAAATTAATCTACTTTTAATTACTTCTATCTATTCATATTACCTAGATAATAATTATAATAAATATATATTTGTGACACTCATATAATAAAAATAAAGATTTTTTATTCTTTTAATATTTTATTTTGTAATTTAATCTTGATTTAAAAAATTTTAATTTCTTTGTATTCAAAAATAGCCATTCTAATCTATTTCAATTATATAAGTATATGTTTAATTTAATTTAATTTTTTTTAGTGATATATAAGTATTATATATTTTTATAAGTTTGTTTTGATTTTTGTCTTTATAATTATCTTAAAATCTATCTTGGTATAGGATTTATTTTTTTAATTAAATATATATATATAATAAAATAAAAAACTATTAAAATTAATTTATTACATTTAAAATTATATATATATTTATTTATATATAGAATGAAATTTAGATTAATATAAAAAATATTAAATTTATTTATACAGTCATAATATCTTCAAATTATTTATTAAAAAATTAAAATCTTATTGATATTATATTTATAATTTATAACTGTAAATATTATAAAAAAATGCATAAAAATATATTTTAATATATTAATAATATAAGTATTGATAAACTTTTAAAGATAGTAGTAATTATTATAATTTTTATCAAGTTCTATAAAAGCTTTAAGTGTACTAAGTTATGTTGCAACCAAATTTTGATAGAACATTATTTTAATGTAAAAAATAATAAAAAAATTTCATATGTTTTTATATTATTTCAAATAAAAAAATATTTCTATGTATGTAATAGAATTTTGTTTAATTTCATAAAGATATATCTAAATTTAGGAAAAAATCAAATATAATTCTAGGATACCCTAAAATATCAAGAATATCCTTGCATTTTTTATAATAGCAAATGCACCTCTCACTTATCAAATATCATCACTAGCAATGATCCTGGTATTGTATCATATCATTCATTTTCTGCAATTCAAATTGCATGTGCCGTTTCCTGGATTTTTTGCATCCTAAACTGAAATTCCTTGTTGTTAATTGACATTACTATCCTACTCTTCAAACTCGTCTTACTGTGCTTAAGTGATCTTGTTACACTCACAAAACCTCAATCTCCTTCTTTCAACTTTTGAAGCCACAATTTCTTTCTGGACTAATCTATTGCTTAGTTGGACTTCTTGTTGGACATCAAAATACACCATAGAGAAGGCATAAAATACAAAAAATCCTATAAGACATTGTTTGACAACAAGTTGGTTAGATATCAAAACTTCACTGATGTATTCATTCCACAAAGCCCACCATCTTAGTCCTTATTTCCTTGCCTTTCTATTTTATGTAATAAAAAAAGGGCTTATTTATACCAAGTCTTTGAGGAATTTCAGCCTCCATATTCTCACTTCTTCTTGACAAGGAATTTTTGCAACTCTGTATATAGTCTTGTAGCTGCTTGCCAACTCCAACATCTACAAACTCTCTTCTTGCATCTTTTGCATTCTCTACATCATGTGCAAATTCTACAAACTCTTCAACACCTTTTCATGAGAGGCATTATAAAATCTTAAATCCTTTGAAATTACAAAACCAAAAATTTAAGAAAAATTATATAAAATTTCCATGTTGGGCTCTGTTGCCATTTTGGATTGGGCTTATTTTGCAACTTCCAATGTTGTGGCCCGACCACTTACATTGTCAAATTTTTCAAAAAAAAACTAAATCTTTTGCATTCCCTTTCACATACAACTATTATATTCTTCTACTCACCATTGTTATTAAGTTTGTATTATCACTATGTGTTTGCTTCATTACATGGTTTTACTTGTTTTCATTATGTCCATCTACAAAGGATTTTAGAATGTGTGTGTTTTTTGTTTGAGAGTCACCATTTGCAAAGGTGAACAAGACTTTGTTATAGATGGCATTGGAGGTGGTGTAGTAGGACGAGCAACAATGGCATCAAATCCACCAGTTGATACCCATTAATAATCCCAAGAATCATTGCTAGTAGTGATATCCTATTAGGGATATATTTGCTGTTATAAAAAATGAAAGAATATTCTCAATATTTTAGGATACTATAGGGATATATTTGAAAAATTTCCTTTATTTTATGGCACTATAAAGAATAATCCTCAACAATAAAAGGAAAAATTATGATAAAAGTTATTAAAACATTAAAACTTAAATAGTGTTGTTATTATTTTTTTTTTTTTGTTTTTTTTGTTTTTTTTTCCTCTTGAAGTTCAAGAGTTTTTTTTTTTTTTTTTTTTTTTTTTTTAAATATCTTGTGACATAAAACACTGAGATGTACTTAGAAATAAAGAAACATGCACACAAACACTTATTTCGATTTTAAAACATGAGCATGAGAAAATTGAATGATAAAAACTCCACAAAGTACATTAAAACAACCATTTCATTCAGTTCAACCACATAAACAACTGATGAACATCATCTTACAAACTTTTACATACACTGTGTCTTGAAGTTGAGTAATCAAAACCATATACAATTCACTCAGGAAATGCTCGTCACCACCCATCAATCGAAATCAAACTCTAATCACACAAAAGAAAATTACTCTTTCAAAAAGCTGAATCAGACCTGGTTTTCATGTGCTCTTGTTCACCACGGAAACAACGCTGAATCTGTTCATGAAGCCAGCACTTTCCCTGAGCAGTTGGCGGCACCGTTAAATTTGGCGAGAGAGCCCTCGTAATTCCCCTGCGGCATTCATTCATTCATTCCAATACAGAACATGTACTCATTGGCATGGCGAACACAGGGAGAGTTCCAAATGAAGGAATGGGACGTGGCGACGTTCTGGGTGTGCTCGGATTGCCTTCAAATGGTGGCGGAATGAAAGCCGCGGAAGAAGCGTCGCGTTGCATGACGACAACGACGACGATGAGGAGGAGGGAGAGCAAGACGAAAGGAAGCAAAGCAAAGCAGGAGGGGAAGAAGACGTAGCAAGAGCAACGAGGAGCAACGTGGAGCATCGAAGGAGGAGTGGATGGGCCCCACTCGGGATTACAGCTAGGCACGCAACAATATAATAGAACAGAGGAGAACAGAATAGAGACAGACAGAGAGAGGGAGAGATAGAGAGAGAGCAGTGACGGGGTGGTGGAGTAGTAGTATTGCGCGGTAGTAGCAGGCCCTCTTTCTTCTCGTGTCTCCTGGCCCCTTTTCAAAGCAGCGAGATCGCTTTTTACTTCTCGGGTTATGGTCACAGGTGCTGTCGCATGAGGTTTCAGCTTGTGGGTTGTCTCTGCGTGTCCCCGTGTGCCTGTGCTGTTGTGGGTTTATTCTCCCGCCTTTGTATAGTGTAAGGTGATGGTGGATTGACGCTGCAGGAGACGCTTGGGACCAGGTAGTGTTGACGCATTTATTTTTATTTTATTGGGAACCTCTTGTGTTTTTCCAGCTTGATCTTCCGTGGGTGTTGGGGCTTTGCTTGCTGACCTAATTTCTCGGGGGCGTTTTCGGGAGCTTTTTGGTCGGGGTTTTTGGGGTTGTTCTTGAAATTGGGTGTTGGGGATTTCGGGGAGCTGGGCGTGTTATTGTTCTTGTTGATTTCGGGTGGGGGAAGGGATATTCGCCCTTGAGAGTTGTGGGATTGGTTGCTGGGATAGTGAGTTCTTGGAGGTTTGAGTTGGATGAAAGGTGTATCAGTCAGTTGATCGGGTGCCCAAGAGGTGCGTTACTTAGCAATTTGGAAGCACTGCATGAACATGCAAATAAATTGCCCACTTTTGCACGCCAATCGAGGCTGGAGGTTAAAATAAATCCAATTTTCTTAAATCTTACTTAGTGTGGTATAGGGTTTGGCACGACAGAAGACCAGTATACAACGAATCGGGGGCTCAATTTCGCCTTTTCATGGCTAGCGGGCCATGTGCCAATCTCGCGATCAAAAGTCGATCTTAGGGGGGAGTTGTCAGAACTTTGGACATGCCACAGCGATGACAATGGCAGGATAGATTGAAAGGCAAACTTTGCCAGTTTGGTAGTCTATCAGGAATGACTGCATGTGTGCGTTGAGACTCATCCCGTCTTATTAATAACAGTTGGGAGAGTCAGAGAGAGCGGTGGTGACCCTCTACTACTTCGTGCAAGCCATACATTTTTTTTTTTTTTTTTTTTTTTTTTTTTTGTCTCTCCCGCTCACGAGAATAGCAATACAACACCTGTGAGGTTTAGTGTCAAAACTTGACAGAAGCGTTAGCGACAGTTCCATCATTTGGTGCAATTCCATTCAGACCAGAGGCAATTCTCATCGTCAAATCTTGGAAGAAATAGATTTACAGTAATTGATTCATTAAATTTTATGTTTTTTCCCCTCTAGAATCGTGGCTGTCAGGTTTTCAACAACTCTCCTACGTCATCTGTTACCTTGCCTGGTTTGGTACTTGTTCAGTATAGCTCGAGTATCGACTCGTTTTCTTCGGTACGAGCTGCAGGTTTGAAAGGCTTAGTTTAATCCCAACCAGCACATTCAAATAAGGCTGTATTGAAGGAATTAAAAATCGAGTTTTGTCTCAATTTCTGAATAATTAAAAAATCTCGGTTGAAATGCCAACTCATGTGCATTGCCCACTATGCCGCTATTTCAGGGTCAATTTCGCGATATCTATCTTTCTCAAGTCTTGAGCTTGTACTGTTCTGGCTTTCTTGTCAATTTTTTTTTTTTTTTTTTTTTTTTTTTTTTTTTTTTTTTTTTTCAAATAGCGTATCGCTGTTATGTTATTCCCCTTCCATTGCAGATTTCTGATTTTGACCTGGATTTGTGGTTAATGTCTTTGTTGTAGAGAATACGTGGATGGACCTGCGCATGTTATACGCACTCTGTTACCTGTCCTTGTCCTGTGTTTGCTTCAAGTGTGTACACTGTTTCCTGTCTTGTTGCACTTTTGATCGTTATCGTTGAGCAACGGTAATCCCTCAGACGACTGTTGTTTAGTTCATCATGGCCACAAGAGTGGCAGCTGCTGCTGGCTTAGCCGTGATCACCTCATATCTGATTGCTGCTCGACTCCGCAAAAATTCGAAGGCTGTGAAGTTGACGACGGCGTTTCAAGGTAAAATTCGACTGCCAACTTCGGTCACGCCCAGCCGTTATGACCTGGAGTTGACACCAAAGCTGGATATTTGCAAATTCGATGGCAAAATGACCGTGTCTCTTCGCATTGTTGAAGACACCAAGTATATCGTTCTCAATGCAGCCGATCTCACCATTACTGATAAATCCGTGTGGCTGCGATCTAATACTTCTCGACAGGTAATCAATGTACCCATGTGAAGTTTCTCAGAAAGAGTTCATTTGTAGGCTGAGAAATAACAGCTCTTGTTCTTCTTTAGAAGTTAAATTCTCTTCATAGGTCCTTAATGTTGGATTTAATTTAGTCCTTATTATTGAGTACGAGTAGCTGAGTGTTCGCAATCATGACCCTCAAGCTTCCAGTTGAAGGTGCTTTTAGCGGATCATATTAATCTACCAACTATGGTATGTTTTGGGTGGATCAGATGTTTTGGCCAAAATCTGTGGAGCTGCACCCGGAAGATGAAATTCTAGTTTTGGCTTTTGAGGAGAATCTTTCATTAGGTGAAGCTGTTCTGAGCATGGAGTTCCAAGGCACTCTAAATGACCAGATGCGTGGATTTTATCGGAGGTGCTTTTCTGCTTAGAGATACTGGATGAAAGAGCTCTTCATGTTGCGTAATTTTCCTGGTTCATAGTTATTTAAGGGCTTGGTGCATTGTATATCCTTTGCACTTCTCGTCATGTTTTTGTTGCTCTTTGTTACCATGATTTCTGGTATTTTCATTCTCTTTCAGGGTAATTGCAGCCGGATTGTTATTGAAGTTAACTCAATGCATGTGTTTTGATTCTTGATTGTCCTTTTCTCGGTCATCTCCAGCTCCTATAAAATCAACGGCGAGACAAGGAACATGGCTGTGACACAATTCGAGCCAGCTGATGCAAGGCGATGCTTTCCGTGTTGGGATGAGCCCTCCTTCAAGGTTCTCTCACTGACTTCCCCTCTACTCTGTCTCACACTAATTTAACTATTCATGGCATTTTTTGTGTTCAAAGTTCAAATATGTTTTGGATACCATCTTCATCGAAAAGTTTGTTAGAAGGGGAATTGTTTTTTTATGCGTGCAGGCCACCTTCAAGATGACATTACATGTTCCAGTAGACAGGGTCGCCTTATCCAATATGCCGATTGCAGAGGAAACGCGAAGTTCGCCTAAGATGAAAACCATCAAATTTGAGGAGTCTCCACGCATGTCAACGTACCTAGTGGCAATTGTCGTCGGAGAGCTTGAGTATATCGAGGGGCACACGCCAGATGGTGAGGCTCTGGATCAAACGTTAGAGATTGAGAATCTGATGCTTAATTTTAATCTTTTAATTAATAGGTTAAGTTATATTGTCCTCTTTAAGTTGATTTGATTTTATGTGTTTACCAGGTCGGAGCGTTCGAGTGTATACAGAAGTTGGAAAAACACACCAGGGAAAGTTTGCTTTGGATGTTGCTCTCCGAACCCTTCCTTTCTATGCCAAGTAAGTTTCTTTGCAAATGGTGTCATGGAAGCAAATCGACTAATAATCTTCTCTCCACCGCCATAGTCGTTGCTCCTTATATTTAAGCAGTTACAAGCATTATGTTAGGAAAGTTTGCTGTTGTTCAATTTTATCTTATTTTATTATGCTTTGTGCCTTCTTGAGTAGATTTTATAAGAGTTATTGGACTGACAATGTTATTGTTCCATTAGGTATTTTGGAACGGAATATCCTCTACCGAAGTTAGATATGGTTGCTATTCCAGACTTCGCTGCAGGAGCCATGGAAAATTATGGCTTGGTTACTTACCGAGAAGCTGCCCTTCTATTTGACGAGAAGGTCTCAGCAGCTGCTAATAAGCAAAGGGTAGGAAATTTACTTCGATCATTTTACAGTATGCGGAGCGGTTTCGTACTTAATAATACTTATTCTGTGCATACATCAGCTCTTAAATCTGAAGTGGTGCCAACCTGGTCCGTGCATTTTTGAACTTCATAATGAAGTGCATGAGTTTTATAAATGTTGCATTTTAAAATATCTTAGTCCTATGAATTTCATTTAAGAACATGAGATTGTTTGCGATGTTTGCTGGTAATCAGGTCGCTGTGGTCGTGGCTCACGAGCTGGCACATCAGTGGTTTGGAAATCTTGTCACCATGGAGTGGTGGACCCATCTTTGGCTTAACGAAGGTTTTGCCACCTGGGTAAGCGTGATCCCGCCGAACCAAAGCTGATCTATACGCCAGCTTTTATATTCATATATATATATATATATTTTTTCCAGTAGTTATCATCTTTCTCAAGCATTTTTGGTTGATAGATAAGCCATTTTTGAATGCTAGTGATTAAATTTGGAATATATCATCTTTTTTCTTCGGGACACTTTTCTCAATCTTGTAATCGTCTTACAAAAATGTCATTTCCACCTTCTGAATACGAGTTGCTCCTGTATTTTCTAGGTGAGCTACTTGGCCATTGATCATTTGTTCCCAGAGTGGCAGATCTGGACACAGTTTGTGGAACAGACCGTAGATGCCTTCCGGTTGGATGGGTTGGTGGAATCTCATCCTATTGAGGTAAGCCTAGTGTTATGATTTCCTCTTGCTGCTTCCACACGTAGGTGAAATGCAGCAAATCCCCTCTGTATGTTTAGACATTTGGTAACCGTCTACGGTATCAGAATCGTACACCATGTGCTCTTGGTACAGGCGTGATGTTTGACATAGGATTAATACTTCAAAGCTATCGATTTTTCAGTTCATTGTGTTTCTTGTGAAGTTGAAGTGCACCACAGCCTGCCGTATTTCTTGTAGGGAAGACCTTGTAGATGGGAACAATCAATGCTGTCAAGTTTCATTACGATTGAACTCGCTGTTTCACGCTAAATTTCTAAGCTTTAATCCGTCTGCTCAGGTCGAAGTGGGGCATGTTCGAGAAATCGATGAAATCTTCGATGCAATTAGTTATAAGAAAGGAGCAGCTATTATCCGAATGCTGCAGACATATCTGGGCGCGGATACATTTCAGGTGTGTAACGTGTGCAGGGTCTCGTGAATTCTCTTAACTTTAGATTGTAATCTTCTTCCACCATTGAACGTATATCTGATTCGTTCTTGTTGTGCGACAGAGGGGATTGGTTTCTTACATCAAGCGCTATGAGTACAAAAACGCTAGAACAGAAGACTTGTGGAGTGTGCTGTCCGAGGAGTCTGGAGCTCCTGTCAAGGAGCTGATGGATTCTTGGACTAAGCAACAAGGATACCCTGTCGTGTCTGTCCAACTTAAAAGCGAGGCCCTGGTTATAGAGCAGGTAACTCTTTGTTGATACGGCCATCTCTTAATCGGGTGTCTATTTGGTAGGATTCAACAAAGCTTTCTTTGGTCATCATCCTGCAGTTCTTGCTGAATTAATTGAGTATTCTAATTAGGAGAATAAGTGAGAATTTTACTTACAGACTTTTGGGAGTTTTGGGGGATGCAGAGCCAGTATCTTTTCAGTGGACATGGGGGTGATGGAGAGTGGGTGGTACCAGTTACGTATTGTGTGGGTGCATACAAGAATAAAATGAGTGAGCTTGTGAGACTGAAGACAAGTGTTCTGTCGACCCATAAACTCATTCATGATAAGCAAGCGAACTCCGATAGTGATATGACTTCCCAGGACTCATCTCCCGATCTGTCCAAGGATTGGATCAAACTGAACGTTGGCCAGACTGGATTTTATCGTGTTAAATACGATGATGAACTGGCTTTGCGCCTTCGTTCGGCCATATCTGCTGGTTCTTTGGAGGCTACGGACCGTTTTGGTGTGTGCTTGTCCTACTCATGGTAGTGTTGTTTGATAATTATCAGGCTCATAGGGATCTATAGCTTATAGGTTTTTGTGATGTTTTGGTAGCCAGGTGTAATGGCATTTCTTACAATAGAGTAGGAGGTTTGTTGTGTACTTGGCTCATTGTTCTAAATTTTCTGTATGTTCTGCAGGAGTTCTGGATGACACTTATGCACTGTGCATTGCCCGGAAACAGCCTCTGAGCGTCTTGCTTTCTCTCATGGAAGTCTATCGTTCAGAGACCGATTACACAGTTCTTATGTGTATGACCAACGTAAGCGGGGTTGCTCCTCTCTGCTAGACAATTGGCTCCCATCAACACTCTTTTGTGGAGCATTGAATATGAATAGATTGCATTTGTTAATTTTTATACAGAAAATCAACATTGTGCAAGGCTAACAGTGCTTGAAATATTGGAATGCGGATGTTCTACACAGGTTTCTTATAGGATTCTCAAAGTAGTTGGAGATGCGATACCCTCGGCAGCCAAAGACTTGAAGCATTTTGTGTCAAATCTTCTCCTGCCTTCTGCTGAGTAAGTCGTTACGGCTGCCGTTTAATTTATATTTGAGAAAAATATGACGGTTATTATTGCATATTACCATCTGAATTCTTTTTATTTTTTTAAAGATTCGGCACAAGCTGCAATCACCTTATATATTTGGTGCCATCCTTTTTCTGCAGACGACTGGGATGGGAAGCCCGCCCTGATGAGGGACATCTAGATAGCATGCTACGAGGTGAATTGTTGTCAGCCCTAGTATTCTTCGGTCACGAGGACACAATCAACGAGGCAAAACGGCGATTTGAGGCATTTCTAAAAGACCGTGAATCTCCCCTCTTACCTGCGGATACTAGGAAGGTATAATGTCATTATATTCTGTTCTAAAGCAAATATGACATTTATTTGACCTTTTAATGTTTTTATGTTTATTTGTTTTAATAATATGTTGTTGAATTAATCTGGGAATTCGTGATTTTATTCCATCCAATTTTTTTGCTGCTGCACACAATCTGGAAGTTGTTTCGAAAGTGCATTTCTACTCCACTTTCAACTCTGAAACTGTATTGGTGCAGGTGGCATATACAGCTGTCATGCAAAGTGTGAAAAGTTCGGATAAAACAGGCTACGAATCTTTGCTCAAAATTTACCGGGAAACGGATGTCAGTCAGGAGCGCACTCGAGTTCTCAGTAATTAACTTCCTTTCATCTCTTTACTCTTTCAAGTGTCCACTTTTTAAAAGATACAAGATTTCGTTTGATTGGATTTCTGATTTCTTCTTTTCACATATAAGACTTGATGTTTCTCGACTTACTATTTTTAGACACATACCCAAGGTCTATGCTTGTATGCTTGTGCAACCTTCCAATGAAAAACTTGCCACGACTTTGGTGTAGGTACACTTGGAGCCTCTTGCGACCCTGCTATTGTCAGTGAAGCTCTTGATTTCTTGCTGTCACCAGAGGTACGTTTTCCATTTTGAACCCCACCGGAAAGCTAGGATTGGCACTGGTTTGGAAAATCTACCAGCTACCCCAGTTGTCAAAATTGAATGGTCACCTGTAGAAAATTAACTTGGCACGAACGGGGGTGCAGGTCCGAAATCAGGATGCAATTTGGGTTTTGGCAGGGATTAGTGGTGAAGGCCGAGATGCGGCTTGGTCCTGGCTCAAGGTAGGAAGCTGCCTTCTTATATATCTGATGGACTGTCATTTCATTGTCGTAATAGCGAATTGTTTAGAACGTTAGGTGACTCATTTGATTCCAATAATCTATTTAAACTTAGAAGTTACCTTAAAGTCTCACTATGATTCATCATTCAATTGCATGGGAGACGTACTCAACACGCGTGTTAGTTGAATCTTTAATCCTGAAAGCTGTATTTCTCTTTGATCATATTATTATTTGTATCAAGTGTCAACTATCTCATTTTCAGAGTGCAGCATTGAGGCTGTTGCTTGACCGATTCGAAGAGTAAGGTTAAAAATTGTATCAATGACATTAATTAAATTAATTGGAATTTGACACGCCATGATGACGTATCATTTGCAGGAAAACTGGAAAACAGTATGGAACCGATTTGGGGAGAGTGTCCTGATAACACGCTTCATCAGCAGTATTGTCTCTTTGGTAAGACTTTATTCATCCAACTACATGTACCTGACCTTTCAGTTGCGTTCTAGTCTTGCTCCTCAAAATACCAATTTTTGAAACAAACTTATTTACTAGATACATAGCGTAGATGTTAACATGTTATGTTATGCAGTTCTCGAGTGATGACAAAGCTGACGAGATCAAAGACTTCTTCAACGCAAACTCCGCCCCAGGGATTGATCGAACCGTCGGCCAGAGTATAGAGCGTGTGCGTATTACGAGCGAGTGGGTCAAGTATGTCCAGAAAGAGGAGGGCATTGTAGAAAAGATTAAGCAGCTGGGTGGCTAGGATTAACCAGCTTTTAAACATCAGATGCACCAATAGGCGCGAGTCTTTGAATGCAGACATCTTCACTGGACGGAGCCTTCTCTCGTTACAGGATGTGCAATCTGTTTCATGCAATGAAACTGTCCCTAATGTAAACTTTGAATATGCTTCCATTAGCTTCTACTGTTTACTACGGTCCTTTCTGTATCTCAAGATTTTCAGGAAGCAACTCTTGAACAGGTATCACCTTCACCCATCGTCTCGTTCAGCGTCCTCACCGCAAAATTTCCAATCTATGCTAACTCACAAGGCCTTAACACTTATATATGTTACATTGCTGATATGGAATCCCAGATGATAAGATAAGAGAGTCATTTTTAGGCCCACTTATAGACCTTGAGCCTCTGTTGCCACCTGGCAGCAAGGGGCAATCCCTGTTGCCTCCTGGACTCTTAATTTCTAAAAAGTGCACGGCATTGGACATGAAGTGATGAAACAAAATTATGAAGTGATTTTTTTTGGCTACTAATTATGTTAGTAGTTCCAATACGTTTTGATTTTTGTTCAAATTAAGTAGAAAGTAAATTTATCTTTGGTAAAAAATAATTAGAAAACTAATAACAACTTGTGGTGGTAGTAGCAAAATCTAAGGTAAGAACGCCTAGTATACAATGTGTAGCAAGACTGAATCAAATTCTTGATTCAATCTACAACGTAGAGTAATTGGCTATGGATCATCACAAACTATAAATGGGAGGAGATAATAGTTTAAGCATGCTATGCTTTGATGGAGAAAAATGTCTCACAGTATGTCTCTCGAATGTGTAAGAAAATTATATTTGACATACTTTGTTCTTTGATTTACTTTTGCATCTTCCATTACAAAACAATTTAATACTTTGTCCACTTGCCTTATCTAGCTGAAACTGTTGAGAATGTTTTGGAGAGACATAATAGTAGTTGGAACTAATATGTATACACACAATCACACACACAAAAACAAGAGTAGGTTGATGTGGATGTCTCTTATATACAAAGAAAAGGGGAGAAGATAAATAGTTTTTTTCCACTACATTTTAGATATTGTAGCTACACTATATATTTAAACTAGAGTAAATATTATGGAAAGAGTTGGCTATATTTAATGCTCTCAATACTCCTCTTTTCTTATCATAAACCTTTGCATAGAATTATAATCTATATTTTTTTGTAATCTTGTAAGATCAACAGCTGTTGCTTCATTAAAACCTTATCTAGGAAAACCTTATTATATTCAAGGACAAAACCATAGATGAAAGAAAAAAAGTACATCATTTTTCTTAATTATTTAAAGAATTCATTAACTTTCTTACTCAAGAAAGATAAGTTGCCACTTGCCAATGCCATAAATAAATTAGCAATACTTGCACATAAGAAGAGCTTTGGTGAGGAGATTAACAAGGTTATTTGCAGATCCAAATTTCTTAATCTTAAGTGCTTAATCAATAATTAGATCATGGATATAACTAAAATACTTTGGATCAATATACTTTGTCTTGTCGCATTTGTGCAATACAAGGGCTATTGGAGAATCATACAAGATAGTTGGAAAATCATCATATGAAAGTCCATAGGTTGTCTAAATGAATTTATTATTTGATGACAATCAAATACATTTCGGAGTTGCTTCATGTAAGACAATAATTTTTGTATGGTTGGATGAAGTTGCAATTATAATGTGTTTCACTAATTTCCATGATGTTGTAATTCCATATCTTAAGAATACTTAGTATATTTGAGATTTAGCTATTGTAATATTAGATTTATATTATGCATCATAATATCCAACCAATTTTGGATTTGCAAATCATGTGTAATATAATCCCAAGTTTTTAGTGTCTTTTAAATAATATAATAAATATTTGATGCCATTCCAATATTATAGTATTAAATATGCATAGTGTCTTGTAAGAACTCTAATTACAAATGCAATATTTGGTCTCATAGATGTGGCTAAATATAAAAGTGCTCCAATCGCTCAGAGTTTTGGATATTGATCTTCCAATATTTTCTTTTCATCTTTGTACAAATGGTATGGATTGTCACTATCATGACCACATCCAACCATTGGTATTGACAATGAATAAGCATCAATCATATTGAATCTCCACAAGGTTCATTTAATATATATTAGTTGGTAGAGAAAAATACTACTATATATCAGATGGATAATTTGAAGACCAATGCAAAAAGTTATTTTTTCAAGCATTTTCATCTCAAACTCATGGATAAGTAGGCTAGTAGCTAAAATGCGTGTAGATTTAGTATCTATTAGGTTAAGATCTAGTATCTATTAGGTTAAGATCATCAATATATATAGCAATGATTACAAACCAATTTTATCTTGTTTAATAAATAAATAAGCGATTCATAGCTCACTTATAAAATTATTTATAATTAAATAATCTTGGAAACATTGATACCACATGCATCTAGATTGTTTTAGACCATATAGAATCTTGTGTAATTTAATGCCAAAATATTGTCTTCGAGCATGTGCATTTGGAGTTTCTATTTCTAAACCAGGTGGAACTTTCATATAAATATCTGCATCAAGAAAATTATACAGATATGCAATTATTATATCTATGAGATGTATTTCAAGGGTGGCATGAACTGCCATTCCAATAATATATTGGAATGTAATTGAATCCATGACTAAAAGATATGTCGATTCATAATCAATGCCAAATTGTTGGGTAAATCCTTGGGCAAAAAGATAAACTTTATAGCAAGTGTCAAGGACAAGAACTCGATGAAAAAGCAATTCAGACAAGTGAGCCTTCACTTAAAGAAAGGTAACAAAATATAAATAAACAAGTATGTATATTGAAAGAGAAACTAGGATGGCTATTGCCAAAAGACAAGAAAAACTACAGACCCTTGAAACTAGACTAGAAGCAAGAAAAGAGTTGACAAGAGTGAAGAAGGCTTCACTCTTGTCTCTATATATATTATCTAATTAGAGGCTATGTGGGGACGTTCTATAGGACCTCTAATATGTGTTGACTTTGTAGGACACATGCCTTGACTTACAAGGCAAGTTTTTCTACGTGTGGGCTACATAGTTAGCTTGGTCTTCAAGCTAACAATATGTGTGGCACATGGCCAACTTATTGACCACATTTCTAATCCAAAAAGTCAATTAAAGACACCTACGAAGTCAAAGCAACATTTATAAAGCTTCTAGGAAGCTTCCATATCAAATACTATAGAATTAACTTATTTTTATCTACTTTTATTTACTTCTACCTATTTATAAATTTAATTACTGGCTTACATGAGTATGTCCGTGACATTACCTCCCTTTTTAGGGATGAGTTCCATGAGGAGCGGTCATCATATGTTGAAATCTAAAATGGGACAAATTGTATTTGCCACATATTCTAATCTTTGTTCTCTTCGAAGATGATTGATAGGATCTCTCCACCATCTGTAGTGTCGCATACCAGGGCAAGAAGACCACCCATTTATTTGATCATTGTTGAGGCCTTCATAACTTCCTTCGAATAGAACATTTGGAATACCATCAAGAGTTGTTCCTAACACCAAACATCAAGAGTCCCTTCCCAAGTCGTGATATCAAATGCATTGTATCTCGCCATCTATTCGAGGAAGAACATGTCATTCTTGAAGATCTTCATCTCAATTGCATTGACTTGAAGGTTGTATCAATTGTAATATCTCGTCCAATAGGTCAGCAAATGAAGGCTCTTGAGTCAAATCCGCTAGTTATTGGTTCTCCATCTTTTTAGTGTCACAACTACAAAGAAGCTACAAACAAGGATTGAAAGTAGATTGTTATCTTGCGTAGATGTTGTTTCTTTTATAAAGAAGGTTTTCATCTTGATTTTGATGGATGTTGTCAATAAAAAGCCTCCACCGCCTTTGCTGCATTTGCAAGATTCTTCACTAGCTCCTATGTGCGTTCACTAATATCATATCTGTGCCAATGGACAAGTTATTTCAATTTATTTCGGCGCGGCCTTGAATCTAAGACTTCTTCTACTTCAAACTCTTCATTATTGTCCACTTCTATAGGAGGAGATAGAGCTTGTCGTCTTCTTGGTATGTCCACTATCTTATATGGTTCAAGAAGAGACACGTGAAATACTGGATGGATTTTCATTGACTTCGGTAGATGTAAACAATATGCAACTGGATTAATTTGTGTAGAAATAGAAAATGGTCCAAGCCTTCGATAGTCCAACTTGTCACAAGGATGAGTGGTCTTGATATTTCAATGAAGTAGCCATACCTTATCACCCAAGTGGAATGATGGTTGTTCCTTTCGATAGACATTCACATTGTCCTTTTGTTGTTCTTGAGCCTCTTTTAACTATACCTTCATCGTTACATGTAGCTTTGACAAATGAATCGCCTAATGTTTTGCAGCAAGATTATCAACTTTTGAAAAGTCAAAAGTATCAAGTCATCGATAATAACCATAATTAGTAAAGAAAGGTATTTGTTTTATAGAAGAATGTACTGTATTATTATAAGCAAACTCTGCCAATGGCAAAAGAGTTGTCCAATCATAAATATTAGTTGATGGTACATCTTAAATATTACTCCAAAACTTGATTAACACGCTCTGTTTGTCCATTAGTTTGAGGATGGAATGCCAAAGATAGTTTTATATCTATTTTTAGAATTTTGAAAAGAGTCCATCAAAATCTTGATACAAATTGAGTTCTCTTATTTGATATAATATCCTTAGATAATCCATGATAGCGATAGATATTGTCAAGAAAGAGCTTAGTTGTTTCTTCACCTGTGATAGATTTTGTACATGATATAAAATATGCCATCTTGATAAAACGATCTACTATCATGAATATAGAGTCATAAGAACCTGAGATTGGAAGATCCGTGATGAAATCCATAGAAACAAAAGACTATGGTTGTTCTAGGATGGATAATGGCTGAAGAAGTCCAAAAAATCGATGACGAGGAGTTTTTGATCTTGAGCAAACATCACATGATTGTACAAAATCTTTGACTGCCTTCCACATTCGAGGCCACCAAAAATCCCTAGATATCAGCTCCAAAGTCTTATTGTATCCAAAATGTCCTGCTGCTGGGAAGTCGTGACAAACTTGAAGAATATATAAATGTGCTTCTCCTTTTGGAACATATAGGCATCCTTTG